GGGGTTGGCAAAAGGTAAGGCGGAAAGAAAGGAGGAGAGTTGGTGGTAGAGGAGAGTAACTATATTGTGTTACTCGTTGGGGTTGTAGTCTGGGTTGCCACACATTGGGCAAGGCAGCTCAGTGAGAGCCATGCTCCCTGTCGCTCTCATACGATGACTCGCGCAGGCTGCTGAGGCGCTCATCTCCTGGTGGTGGTGGTGCAGCTGCTGTTGGTGTTGACGCTGGTAGTGGCTGTACTCCTCAGCATGCATATCGCTGTTTATTCTGTGTGCAGCGCGAGCCTCGGCCAGCACCCTATCGCGAGAGTCCGCCAGGCTGCTAGCTCTAACATGGCGATCCTGGACGGCGAGAGCTGACGTGCGCTGTTGTTGTTGTTGATGCTTGGCCAGGGTGTACCTCTCAGTGCGCTCTAGGCTTCGTGAGGAACGGCTCCCCCGACTTTCCGTCTCAGAGTCGGTCCAGACGACAAACTGGGTGGGCTTGAAAGGTCCCTTCCTCTTAGGCTGGTAACGGTGAGGGCGGGACGACTCGAGCGAGTCTTGCTTCACCTGGAGGAGGAGGAAGGCGACCGGCACATAGTGGGCTGTCCTCTCACCTGGTGTGTGTTGGGGGGCACACACCAAGACGAGGTGAGGGTAGGATAGGTAGATGCTCACACCAAGCGAGGATAAGTAACTCATACACTCACATGGTGTGTATGAATGTGTATGTGTCAGGGAGATGGAGAACACACCAGGTGGAGGGAGAATAAAGGGATGGGTACAGAAAGCAAAATACAGTCACGGGATAGTTGAATAAAACAAAGAAAACGAGGATAGGACAGCGGGGCAACACATCTATCCCTCACGACACTCACGGCATGAGCTCTGGCTGGGATAAGTAGATAAGAACAGTAGCTATGTAGTTTAAAATAATGGAATAGGTACAGATGGAAAGGGATAGTTGAGTTGGTGGGGTTATATATGGTGAGGCTAGGATAGGGAGATATGGATAGGTGGTTAAGATTGGGCTGAATAGGCAAAGACAGCTGCTGAACTAAAGATAAACTTCACTACGGAAAAAACTGACCACAGGCAACGGGGGCAAAGAACACAGGTAATGGGATAAGAAACACAGGCAATGGGGGTAAAGAACACAGGTAATGGGGAAAAACACAGGCAATACGGAACAAGGAACACAGGCAATGGGAAAAAACACAGGCAATAGGGAACAAGGAACACAGGCAATGGGAAAAAACACAGGCAATAGGGAACAAGGAACACAGGTAATGGGGACAAAAAAACACAGGCAATGGGGAAATAGGAGAGAATAGTTAAGGTGCGTCAATAAGGTGGAAAGTTAGACCCTATTTATTCATACTAGGATAGACAAGTACTAAAAATAATAGCATACTAGGAAAAAATATAAAAGACTTGGTAAATAAACAAAGAATAAATGAAAACAAGAGGATTAATGAGAGAAAGAGATAAACTGAATAACTAAAAAAACGAATAGTGTATCGAAAACGTGGCTAGTTCAGGGTTGGTGTTCAGGACCACACACACAGACACACACAGACACACACACACACACACACACACACACACACACACACACACACACACACACACAGCTAGGGAAGGTATGGATAATAATAATATCTATCGACAAAACTCCTTTCATTTTCAGTGTCCTTAGCGAATAATATAACCCGTAAAAATTGATTGATTGTTAGTTGATAAGTGACGTCACGACCACTATGACGTCATGACTCCCTTGACAACCAGTGACCAATCAGATTCAACAGATTGTGATGGTTGCTAAGGACGCCAAAAAAGGGAAATATTTGCCGATAGTTCGCTTGATAAAACACGGAGACGATAGTTAGTGGTGCGAATAGTAACTACAGTAGAGGAAAATAAATCTACAATAGAAATCGAATACAATAGGGAAAAAAACTACAACAGGGAAAATAAAAGAAACAAAATTGTGATGAAATTTGGTAATTAGAGAGAAATTCCAGGTATAATAAAGGTAATTTTTTTTGTTTACTTTTGAATATTTTATTTTTGTTGTTGTTTATTTGTTTGTTTGTTTGATTACCATTTTAACTCCACGAAAAAATTAATTTACACTAAGTCGATTAAATATTTAGAGGTGTATATCTATAATTATTATCTGAATCATTATCCCTTAAGCACTATGAACCTGAATTCCCCCAATCATATTACCAAATCTCGAGCCAGGATTAGGGATTGGAATTGGAATCGTAAGGTTATGGCGGGATTCGATTCTGAGATGAAATAGATTTTATCTTGGGGTCACAAAAAAAGAAATGAATTAACAAACTAGTAATGTTTTTTTATCCGTTAAGCTTCGTTAATAATGTCGTTTGGAGGAATAAATTTCGTCTTCCTAAATTTTATACATAAATTTGGTGTAATTTTTTAGTTTATTCTCATATATCAGGTGAAAATCATTGACATAAACCTGATAAAAAATTAAAATCATCTCAGATATCTCCCAATTGCGTGTGTTCGGAAAGTGTAAATCCTGATTCTAATTGGTTCTTGTTCAGCAACCAATCAGAACTATGATACCCCTAAGGAAGTCTCTGCTTCCATAGAGGCTCTCATCACCCCCACCCAATCAGCTAGGCTCACTTATATCAATGAAGAACTAAGCCAACCAATCAGGATTCACCTTCCGGACACTGAGAACACCAACAGGTAGGAACAGGTAAGGATACACTCTACTTGTTAACATTAATAATAACATTCCTTACACAATTAAACAGTGAGAATATACAATTATAAACATTTCCTAAACATTAGCCAAAAAAATTAATAATGTTATACCTTTGATAAGTTACAACTAATCTGTTACAGTATTAATAATTATTTGAAAGTCGGCAGTGAAAAACAAAAATATATATATATAGCCTAAATTATATCTTTATATCAATACTCTTGCAATTACAGCAGTTACAAAGCTTACCCAATGATGCACAATATATTATACTTCATGTCATTCATTACACTACAGCTCAACAATACAGTACAAACATTACAGATAAATAAACCTAAGAACAACAGTGAGAGAAAGATTTTAGACCCGTCTCCCCTACACACTTACGTTTATCACCTGCAGAGTTCAAGTCCTTCGATCAAACACCCAAAAATTTGTACTTAAACTATTAAAAAAAAGATTGTTTAAGATTATAAATATTTGTATCATAAAAGAATATATAAATACCATTGGTTTCATCGTAGGAAATAAAATTCTTGAAAAATACTACAAGGAAATATATCGAAAAAAAAAATACGATTTATTTTTTTATAATCCATTGCAAAGTTTCATAATAAAAACGTAAATAAATTGTGTTTGGTAAAATATAAATTTATTTTGTCAATATGTAAATTACCTTTGTAGTTGTAACCTGAAATATACCTAATGTAGTAACTAAAAATCGTATTGAGTTAGAAATTTATTAAAAATATATTTAGGATGTATTTATATAATGAGAGTAAAGGAAATAAATTAGTGTGTATAAACAGTACTATTTGAGAGAGAGAACTTCCCTCACACACTTAACTCTATAAGATTCTTAGCACGAAAGAGAACAACAAACTCAGGTCCTTACAAGAAGTAAAAAAGTTACGATAATTTACATATTTACAAGATTTACAATTTTACATTTACGCATCAGTCAAGAAATCGAGATAAAACGAGAATAACAAATTACTTTTTTTATATTTTTAAATTATATGAAGAGTAATAATAATAATAATAATAATAACTGATAATTACACTACTACTACTACTACTACTACTACTACTACTACTACTACTATTACTAACAATAATATTAACTTATTAATTTTATTTACCAATATACCAGATAATTAGAGCAGGTATTATTACTAACCAATATTATAAATATATCAAAGTCATAGTATAATATTTGTATCAAGGTAAGGTGTATGGTTCATTAATGTATATATTACAGGTGTGTTTAGCTATACAGTATATATATTAATAAACATCTATATAAACAGGTACTGAGGTGTAGGTAAATGTATTCGCTTTAATCAAATTTATTGTTTTAATTTTGTATAGATTGGTCTCTCTCTCTCTCTCACTCTGACTCTTTCTCTCTCACTCTCTCACTCTGTCATTCTCCCGACCTGTCCCCGTCTTTCCCTCTCTCTCTTTCTCTCTCTCTCTCTCTCTCTTAGCTCGTCCCTCCTCTTCTTATCTCTCTCTCTCTCTCTCTCTCTCTCTCTCTCTCTCTCTCTCTCTCTCTCTCTTCCAGACAAAAATTACTCTTTTAATTCCCAAAAAAAATCGTGAAAATTTCCTCTTTTCTCCAAATTTAGTCCCGACGAATATTACCCACAAGCATTTATTAATCCCATCAAAGGTTTTAATCCTCATAGCAATAACAATTAAATCTCTGTTAATAGTTCTAAGGGGATTTTCCACTTAAATCCACAAGTAATCCCCGTAAAACGCATAAGAGGATTTTCCCCCTATGATTGAAAGTCAGATTAAATCATTCACTAAAGTACCATAATTCCAGAAGAGAAAAAACCTTGCACAAAATAAATATAAAATTGTAAATCTTTAAATAAGTCTCAGTAAATTTTAAGATTAGTTTAAAAATTTTAATAAGAAAATCTGTTAATATTGTAAATATTCCTAAAATTTTAAAATGTCAGAAAATCTATGAAAAAAATCAATTGTTAAAAAATAGAACAATGATAAATGTCAACAAAAATAAATTAACCAAAAAATCTGTGTTAAATGTCCGAAAAATCCAAAGGCATCAAGTAAAAAAAAATCCGTCTACATAAAAAATCCCTCTAACAAAAACCTGAAAATTAAAAAAAAAAAAAAATCCCATCCACAAATCCCTAAAAAAAAATCCCACAAACCTTTTCACCTTTTCATCATTAAATCGCTCAGTAAATCACCAGGTAATAAATCACCTACAGAAGGAGGAAGCAGAAGAACTTACCGAGTAATCGTAATCATTCTCACGAAGACTCATAGCGAAGGAGGGTGACCTATCTGTAGCGACCTTCATGTAGGAGCGGAGGCGACAGGGGAACTCTACATCCCTCAGCTGTAGTAGGTAAGTGTCTGGCCCCATCTGGTAGCTGTAAGAGAGAGAAGGAAAGGCATTAGAGAAAAGAGAAACACGCTAGGCATAATGTAGAGGCATCATGAGAGGCATTAAACAGTGGAGTGATGTACAGAGAGGCATTTCAAGTCTCTCAGGTGGGGCAGGTAAGTCTTCAGGTAGCTGTGAGGAAGAGGGGGTGATTTATTAGTGGGAGGAGGAGGAAGGAGGAGGGAGGAGGTGGGGGGAGGAGGGAGGAGGGGGAGGAGGAGGAGGTGGGGGGGGAGGAGGAGGTAAGGAGGAGGAGGAAGAAGTGAGGGAGGAGAGGAGGGAATGTCAACTATGTATGTATGTATGTATGTATGTATGTATGTATGTATGTATGTATGTATGTATGTATGTATGTATTATGTCATTCTTTCTATTCTTTGTCTCTCTTCTTTCACTTATGTCTGTCTTTTACTGTCACTTTCTTGATTTTCGTTTCTATGTTTGTCTCTATCTGTCTGTTTCACTCTGTCTTTCTGTCTGTCCTTCTCTCTCTCCAGGTAAAAAAATTACGTCACACAGGTGGAGGTGTGTCAGGTGGTAAAAGCATCATCCCCCCTCCCCCCTCCACCAGGCCTCATCTCAGGGCAGCGAGCCGTGTCTGTCAGCCATACATGAAATACGTAAGACCATATACGGCTGCGTTAAGGCTAAATACCCATTAGGTAATGGTATAAGTTCATTATGTACCTGAGAGATGGGACGCGAGGCTTTTAGCTAATGGGGGGAGTGTGTCAAAGGAGGGATTACAGGGGCTATTAGTTAATGGAATGAGGTCAAAGGTGTCAGGAGTATATATTTACCTACGGGAAGGATGCAACAGCCGTAATGAGATAAGGGCCATCTGGTGGTAATAATGGAAACACACAAGAGAGACTATGACCTGACCATCACTGGCCGTGTTAGGCTGGACGGGGTGAAGACTTCCTCAGGCTGAAGTAAACATCACGTTTGGTCAGTAAAGGGGGAAAATTTTGATAACGTAATGCAGCCAAGAAAACACAACTAATAGATAAGAAAATATTAAACAAGAATAACAGAGAGTACAGTCAACAAGACATTACTCCCCCAATAAACGTTCTCCCTTACACCACAAAACGCTCGATACACTTACTTGCTCTCATTCTTGATAACATCCAACTCGTAGGAATAATCCTTGTGGGGTATCTCGTATCCTTCAGGCTTGGCGGGTATAATCTCTCTCTCTGGGGACTCTGGGGGCGTGTATACCTCTCCTGGGGGATAGACCATCTTGCTGGGATGTGTGAAGCAGGAGGAGAGAGTCCTACGACGGAACCAACGCTTGCAGGATGCGTTGCTATACCAATCCCTGTGGAGGCAAGGATGTGGGTCGGTGCTGAGAGTATGCTAAGGGAAACAGACTTAAATTATTATTTTCTCAATCTTAAACAATGTAATTTTATCTGTGTTTGTTTCTATTTTGTTATTATTAATATTCTTGTATGTATGTATGTATGTATGTATGTATGTATGTATGTATGTATGTATGTAATGTAATGTAATGTATGTAAGTATGTATGTAAAGTTTACACAGTTGAATTTCACAAAAACACACAATCTGAGCATCGAACTGGAGTCCATCAGGTCTACCTTACAGTACCATGACCACTCAGCCACCAGCACTGACCTGAACCTTGAGTAGTAGGACCGGAGTCGATCTGTGTTGATCTTGTAAGGGTCTCGGGGCATACTAAGGGCCAGCTCCATCCAGGGGTGTTTCAGGGCGTTCTTAACATCCATACGCACATCAGCCTGAGAGGGTTAGAAAATAATATATATATTTTGAAGAGTGTGATAGCCATTTAGTATATATAATCTGCTTTAGTTAGGCTGAAAAGTATATATATATATTTTTCTTTAGTTGTGGTTCAAGAAGTATATATAATTTCCTTTAGTTCAGTTAGAAAGTTAAATATTCCCTGTGTGATATGTCAAAAATTAACACCACAATAAGGAAATAACAACCTCTTAGAGTAATACAATAACAACAACAACATCACAAACAACAACACAACAACAACAACACAACAACAACAACACAACAACATCACAAACAACTATCGTCTTTATACCCCTTTACCCCTTTACCCCTTAAACCCCTTTACCCCTTAAACCCCTTAACCCCTTTACCCCTTTCAAAAAAATCCTAAAATCCTTTGAGACCAACACATGTGTCCAGAGATCCCAATACCTGAATACCGATTTCCACAAGAGAGAGAGGATTTAAAAGCAGATTTATTTACAAGCCCTTGGTGGTGGTAGTGGTGGTGGGGGTGGTGGTAGTAGTGGTAGTGTGGTGGTAGTGGTGGTGGTGGTGGTGGTGGGGGTGGTGGTAGTAGTGGTAGTGTGGTGGTAGTGGTGGTGGTAGTGATGGTGGTGGTGGTTAGTGATAGTGGTAGTAGTGTAGGTGGTAGTGTGTGGTGGTAGTGATGGTGTTGGTGGTAGGGGTGTACTGGAACTGCTCAAACTACATCACAAAACCTTAGCCTTTATACAGTATTTTTATAGAGTAATTAAAACAAAAAGTCTGACCAGATTATAATTGTTTATATACTGAAATCTGGGTCTTATTTTTGTGATTACCTCCCAATCATCCATCACGACCTCCCAATCATCCCTCACGACCTCCCAATCATCCCTCACGACCTCCCAATCATCCATCACGACCTCCCAATCATCCCTCATGACCTCCCAATCATCCATCACGACCTCCCAATCACCCCCTTGATCTCCAATCACCCCCTTGACCTCCAATCACCCCCTTGACCTCCAATCACCCCCTTACGACCCTCCAATCACTCCCTGGTACCGGATATTTTACGGTTTAGAGGAGGGGGTGAGAAAGTTGACCGGGTCCCACAGTTTGTAGGATTCCTGGAGAGATTTCTGGTCTCTCTCTCTCTCTCTCTCTCTCTCTCTCTCTCTCTCTCTCTCTCTCTCAGATAATATATAAGTAATTTGTTCTCTCTGTCTATCTCTCTTTTATTAACCTTGACAACTTTTTCTCTTAGTTACACCTGACAGCTTTTTCCCTTGCGTCATGGCGTGGGCTGATAACAATGTGAGCAGATCGGAGTTAATATATTCATAGCTCCAGGTGGCACAGTGCCTTCCCAGAATAGTGAGAGAGGATCAACTTTACCACACATACATACATACATACATAAATACACACGCAAACACATACACAAATACTTACACATGCACATACTTATTCCTACATAATACAGAAATATACACACACACACACACACACACACAGTGACGCACTCTAAACACCCCCTGACTCACGTTAAACACCCCCACGACTCACCCTAAACTTGGCTTACTCTAAACCCCTGACTCACCCTAAACTGACTCATCCTAAACCCCCTGACTCATCCTAAACCCCCTCCTCACTCAACCCTCCTGGCTCACCCCCCCCTGACTCACCATAAACCCCCCTGACTCACCATAAACCCCCCCTGACTCACCTTGAAGACGAGGAGCTTGGCGAGGAAGTCCTTACACTCGTCGGAGATGTGACTGAACGCCTCCATATCGAAGCTCATCTCGCCCTGCTTCACCTTCGTCAGCGTCTCTCTGTCGTTTTCACCTCTGTAGACATGGGAACGATGGTTAGGTTAGGTTAGGTTACATTAGGTTTGTTGAAGTTAGGTTGGGTCAGATCAGTTCAGGTCAGGTTAGATTAGATTAGGTTAAGTCTCTGTTTTACTTGATCCACCACTAAATAATGACAGAACGGCGGAACGGTAACTGGTAATAGAACTGCGAAGACAAACCCCAAAGGATTCTACCAAATGTATCAAACTAAAACACGAGAAAAGATTGGACCAATACGGTCAGACTCCGGCGAGCTCACTGATAACGACGGAGAAATGAGCAATAATTTAAATAAATATTTTTCAACAGTTTTCACCACCGAAAATTTAAACATGATTCCCGAGGCACCGACTCTATTCAGAGATAGTGAAGAAAACAAATTAAGTGAGATAGTAGTGACTAGTAACGATGTTAGTAAGCAAATAGACAAACTAAAGCCTAATAAGTCACCTGGTCCCGATGAGATATTTGCCAGAGTATTAAAGGAATGTAAGGAAGAGCTTAGTATGCCCTTAGCAAAGTTGTTTAACATGTCCTTAAAAGCAGGTGTAGTACCAGAATCCTGGAGGATGGCGAATGTAATACCGATTTTCAAGAAGGGGGATAGATCACGATCCTCTAACTACCGCCCAATGAGTCTAACATCAATAGTAGGCAAATTACTGGAAGCAATCATTTCAAACTCTATTCGAAATCACCTGGAGAAGCACCGATTGATCAATGATTCCCAGCATGGCTTCACAAGCGGACGTTCTTGCCTAACTAATCTATTAACATTCTTTTCATCAGTTTTCGAATCAGTGGACGAGGGGCACAATTATGATGGTATATCTCGACTTTAGCAAAGCCTTCGACAGAGTCCCCACGAACTAATTAGAAAGGTAGAAGCTCATGGCATCCAAAGGTGACATCCTTAAATGGATTAGGAAACATTGGTTACAGGACAGGGAAACAGCCCAGTGAGCATTACTTGACACTAAGTCCCATTGAACAACGTCACAAGTGGAGTTCCCAAGGCTCAGTGCCCGGACCATTATTGTTTATTATATACATAAACGACATAGATATCGGCATAGACAGCAACATAAGTAAATTTGCTGATGACACTAAAATAGGACGTGTTATCAAATCTGACGAGGACTCGGCAAAACTACAGGAAGATCTAAACAAAATTTTCCAATGGTCTGAAAAATGGCAGATGAAATTCAATATCGACAAATGTAAAGTACTCAGTATAGGAGATGTAAACAGGGAAACCAGATACCAGATGAACAACGATGCCATAGAGAAATCCGACTGCGAGAGAGATTTAGGAGTAATGATAAGTAGGAACCTTAAGCCAAGTAAACAATGTGGTTTTGCTCGTAACAAGGCTAATAAAGTACTTGGGTTCATACAAAGGAGTGGTAGTTACAAGACTAGCGAGGTCATTCTAAAACTGTATCTTGAGCTTGTGAGACCACACCTGGATTACACAGTTCAGTTCTGGTCACCATATTACAGGATGGATATAGAATCATTGGAAAGAATTCAGAGGAGAATGACAAGACTAATCCGGGGCATTAGGAACCTTGAGTATAGAGACAGGTTAAAGCATCTTAATTTGCACTCCCTCGAGGAAGGCGTGAGCGAGGGCGACCTGATAGAGGTGTATAAGTGGAAGGCAGGGCTAAACAAAGGGGACATTACAAAGGCACTCAAATTATCCAACCAGGAGCGAACTCGTAACAATGGTTTTAAATTAGACAAATTTAGATTTAGGCGTGAAATAGGTAAACACTGGTTTGGAAACAGAGTAGTTGATGAATGGAACAAGTTACCAAATACCATCATTAACTCGAATTCGCTGAATTGCTTCAAACATAGGTTGGATGCTCATATGAGCAATAGGGGTTGGGTGTAAACGGAACTGCCCAGTATGGGCCAATAGGCCCGCTGCAGTTTCCTCCATTCTTATGTTCTTATGTTCTTATGTTCTTATGTGTGGGAGGGTACACGTCGACAACCAGGGGTGTGCCTGAAGCTGGTCGACTCCATTCCTAATCGCCTTGATGAAGTCCTGAATGCAATGGGTGGCTGGACCAAATACTAAGATGTGTTTATTGGTGTATTATTTGGATTTTAGTATTGTTTGTAAATACAATTAATATATATTAACTCGCCTACAGTGTTATCTTAATTCCATGTCCTTAATGATGTCTTAAACTATATCGCATGAAAATTCATAACAAAGTAACTTAACATCCACAAATTATGTATTGTGTGGTATACAATGATCTGTATGACACGTCGTGGAATGTGTTGTCTTATAACACAATATAATTATATAGTTACAATTGCTACCATCATTGAAATGCTCATGATGTTCAGCACACAATATTAACGGTAACTGAGCACACTCCAAAATATATGAAGCTTGCATATTGTGATGGGGTGTTTAAACACTGGAACTTGGAAGAATTGGAACAGTCACCTAGATTAAGTCTAAATACTATTTTACAATACTGATAACTTTTCACTCCACTCTTTTTAACATAAGTATATAATTATATAATATTGCATATTATCACAAATATTTATTAAGCAAAGGATGGGTGGAATATAAATAAATATTACCATAATCTCTTTGTCGGAATAACAACAAAATTGTGACGTGGTTGCTGAGTAAAACTAGCTGACCAAGGCCCTTCACCCTGCTCCTTGCATATTTCACTTTTATCCTTAATATATTCCATTCTTTACAGTATCATTGTGACCTGAGCGACAATAAGCACCAAGGACACTGCACCTGTTCCATGAATTCGTAACCATAAAGAAACAACTGTAAGACAAAACGTAGTTAAAAAGGCAGCTTGAAATTATGGAGGTATAAATAATAAATAAACCTGCCTCTCATCCAGCCCCCTTATAATCAGTGACAGCACTTCTGCGCTAGCGAGGCTCAAATTACCCTCCCCCTCCTCCCCTGCCGCCCAACACACCCTAGCCGCCGTTGCCGGGCTAGAACAAACTGATGACATCCGTGTCAAGTTTCTTTGGATCCCGTCACATATAGGAATAACTGCCTGTGACACTGTTGATCGGCTTGCCAAAGAAGCTACACAAGAAGAAGATATTGAAGCCACTCTCGCCCTCTCCCTGAATCATCTCAAATCTCGCATACACGCCACACAACGAGAGGCATTCAAAGAAAATTGGATACACCTGAAACAACGGGGTAGCATCACACTATGCCACTATGACGCTGTAACCGGTGACGACAACCGCCACTACAAAGAATATCAATCCCTGACTCGATCTCAACAGCTTATATACATGAGACTGCGCCTAGGGTACAGGTACCTATGGGAGTACATTGGCAACCCTGAGCCTCACCGCACTGTTTGTAAACTTTGTGGCCAACCCGACTCTCACACCCTCTCTCACTACATCCTCACTTGCCCTATGACCTCCTCCTATAGGTCCCCAGCCATTACCAACACCTCTTCCCTCCCAGACCAGATATCCCTCCTCCTAGTCACAGGCCTGGCATTTGACATTATTAGGGACCTGCCACTCTTTGCCATAAACAGATAAAATGTACCGGGAACTTTCCCCCCACACACTCATCATTCTCTCACTTTATGTAACTTGACAGAACCTATGACCCTTCAGGCTTTTACGCCCTTAATGTACGAGTCATAAAGGCAAGTATGAACTTTTCATACTTCCCTGTTGGGCGCTGTAAACGCTTCTGCACTTCACCTTGCACAGGATGTAAGGGGGTGTCCAATAAACTAGCCCCCTCGGGGGCAAATCTGAAATCTGAATCATCCAGCCCCCACATCCCCCCCCCCCCACACACACTACAGTGGGCGACATCTGTTGGCCGACCATAGCATTTCCCCCAGCTGTTTCGAAACTTCAGACTCAGGGCTATTCGATCCCTCACTGTGGATGGGTAGTAGACACGACTTTTGTGCACGATAGTACATGCACATAATACATTCATAGTTTCTAATGGAAACATAGAATACATAATACATATATGGTACATAGTATACATGACTAAGATATCTCCACCTTCCCTCCCGGGAAAAGTCCTAAGCACATGGCGAGGACTAGAGGTCCAGGCGGTCAGGACTTTTGCGATGGCGATGGCTCTGACGGCTGGGTGCATGAAGAGACAGGGAAAAGCGAACATGACGCTTTGACAGCTCTGACGTTTGCGGTCTTAATGACGCCTTGGGGACGTCCATGGACTTGGTGGTGTCATAAGCTGATGTGTGTTGTGGCAGTATGAAGCGGCGGTTACGTCAACACAAGCGACCACTAAACAGTTTCACATGGTAGTCACGGTGACGACCAACACCAACCACAGTCCCGACTTTGTCCCAGCGCTTCGAAACATGGTCCTGGATACATACGGCAGCACCAACTCTGAGGGAAGGGGGGAGGGACCGAGCGGAGCGGTTGTAATACTGTTCAGACTTCTGCTTGAGGGTGAGGTGGTGACCGTCACACTCGTCCGCTGCGTCCTGCCACTCCGGAGCAAACGAACGTACTGTATGTGTGCGGGCATCGCCGTCCGTAAAGGACGTAAAGGACGGCCAAGTAGAATCTGTGCTGGAGGCCTGCCATCTGGACGGGCAAAAGCAATATGGTTTCAAACATTCACGAAAAAGTTTTGTAACCCTTAATTAGGTGTTGTGGTGGTGTCTTCCTGGTGATTCTCTTGGAACCATTATAGGGCTTAAATTCCCAGAGTGCCATGATCTTGGTGTAAAGAGGGTGGAAGCCTCAATACCAGCGTAGGAGAAAAGGTCCGTAGAGACGTCTTCAAAAGGCCTGGATGGGGGCGGGTCACACATCAGAGAGGCTCCTTGACTTGGGATGGCAGGAGGGTTCGGCATGCGTCACACGACTGTACAGTGTTCAGAATGTCACTTGTGATGTCAGGCCACCATACTGTCTGGCAGGCTCTGCGTTTAGTAGCTTCTATACCTCGGTGGGAGTCATGGAGTCGGTAGAGAACATTACGGCGGGCTGCAGCAGGGATGACAATTCGGGCACCGTGTAGTAATAGTCCTTCATCTATGGAAATGTTGTCCCTAATTTCCAAAAAATCCCACAAGGCTGGAGGTACCGTCTTCCTAACCATAGGAAACCTCAAAGCTACTGCATCATAGAGCTTTTGGTAAGTGTCATCCTCAGCAGCAACCTTACGTAGGTCATCGATGAGTGGGCCTCTGAGATAACCGCGAGGCTGCGATGACACTTCCAATGCTCGGGCAAACACACAACTACGGATATAGTGTGTAACGTCATCTTCTGCAACAAGGTCAGCTGGTGAAGGGTCGTCAACTGGTGCAAGGGACAGCGCGTCAGGGATGGCATGATCCATACTCTTACGCCATATTGCCTTGTAGGTAAACTGTTCAGTTTTTTCTTTAGACGCTGCAAGCGAAGGTTCTCCACAGCGTCCAGTGTGTATTCATTGAGGATGGGCACAAGGGGCTTGTGGTCAATGACTAGAGTAAAGTGAGGTAGTCCTAGCAGATACATTCGACATTTACGCATTGCCCACACTGCAGTGACTAGCTCAAGTTCCAAAACAGCGTATCGTGCTTCTGCATCACTCAAAAAACGGGAGCCACACTGGATCACCCTCCACTTCTCACCTTGTTGCTGCTGGAGAGCGTAACCAACTCCTTTGAGGCGGGAAGCATCGGTCTGCAGCACAGTCGGTAGAGCCGGATCAAAGTGGGTGAGTAATGGGGTCGTGGATAGAGCCTGCTTCACGGTCTGGAAAGATGACTGGTGTTCAAGTGTCCACACAAATTCGTACTTTGGGCTGAGTAGTGTGCGGAATTTATCAGCAGCCAATGCAATGTTTGGTGTGAAGTCTGCCAATTGGTTTACTAGGCCTAAAAAAACCCCTAAGGTCTGTGATGTTGGTAGGAACAGGAAAGTCTGCGATCGCCTTGATTTTCTCACTGCCTGCTCTTACTCCACTAGCTGATACTCCAAAACCACAAAATTGTACCGATTTGTTAGCAAACAAGAATTTGCTACGATTCATGGTAATCCCGTGTTAGCGACACCGGAGCAAAATCTCCTTGAACCGCTGGACGTGTTCTCCGTAGCTAGAATCCCATACTAGGATATCATCGACCATCTTCACGCATTTAACAATGTTCGTGAGTGCTATGTCACTTCGTCTGCAAAACTCATCTCCCGTGGAAACGAAGCCCATGGGACCTCGAAAGAACTTGTACCCTCCCCATGAAGTGATAAATGTCGTCAGTGGCTGTGCCTCCTCCGCCAGTAGCCAGTAGCCCAGCATGGCATCCATTGTACAAAAGAACCTTGAGCCTGAGGTTACCTTCATGACAGCATTACGTGGAGTAGGGGCAGGATGGGCTGGGCGAAGTACCTGCTGGTTTAATTTCGTAAGATCTACAGTGATGCGGACACCACCATTTTCTTGAGGGCAACCACCACTCTGATACCTTGTCCCTCAGTGGTTTGATGATCCCCTGCTGCACCATACTATCCAGCATCGCTTTTGTGTCTGATCGCCATGGAGATGGATTATTATTGGTGGACCCCGCTTAGCTTGCAGCTTTGCACCCTCATGGAAGTGCTCAGGTTCTACAAGAACGTCCTTAAAGTCCTCCAAGATTTGCTTGCAGTTCATTGTCCTCTGCTCGTCACTTAACATGTCCATACTGCCGCCTGTTGAGCGTTGACCATGGAGCTTGTTTATCTGCCTTGGATAATCTTTGGGAATTATGTGGAGTGCTTGGGCATCGTGCCATGAAAGAAGGACGTCATCTATCTCCTTGAATAAGTCAATACAGTAGTGGTGTCTACAGAGACGTCTCCAAGCATCATGGTTGCTGTGAACGAGCCCAAAGGAGTCAACTTGTTACTATTGGCTACAAAAACCTCCTCGTCGTGTGAAGGAGATAGATCGGCTTCTGTGAGGCCTAACTGCTGCATCTGGTATGGTCCAGTCCCGGTCGTCTCGGCACTGGTGTTAGGCGTAAACCAAAACGGTCATTGCGTGATCTTTGAAGTGGCCGTACTGGATTTGTTGATGTTGACCTTCGGTGCAGAACGATTGGGGCGGGTCCTGTGGACATTTCCAACCTTGAGACAGAGAGCAGCTCGTTGAGGTGACTGGGGAGTATTATTGGACGTCCTCTGTGAGGAACTCTGCACCTTCCATCTACAACATGCTTTTCCGAAGTGCCCTATGATATTACAGTGGTTACATTTCTTACCCCAGGCTGGGTACTGTTTCTCCCGACCTCCAGGATGCTGCGCTGCTCTGCAACTGTCACACTGCTGGCTGCGTTCCCTCTGCCTTTTGTGGGACCCACTGCGCTGCCGCTGCTTGTGACCAGTCAATCTGTTGAGGGATTTGCTGTTGCTTGGGAGGTCTGCGTCAGTGTTGTAAGCAGAGACTTCACTACAACACAAGCTTAAGGCAGCAGGCAGTACCGGGGGAGGGTCGATAGCCAGAAGTTTCTTTCTAGTTTACTGGTCCCGGATTCCTCATGTGATGCGGGTGACCAACCGGGCATCCAGACTTTGATCAAACAGCTCTGCATCGTCTGCCAGTTCCTTCAAGGCGACATAAAAGTCGTCGAAAGATTCTCCCTCACGTTGACGACGCTCCTCAAACCTCACGCGATGTAGAGCCACGTTGCGCTGCCGATTTAGGTGCGCCTTAATGCCTGTGAGAACGTCATCAACTGTAATCGCCTGGTCATCCTCAGCGACACCAATAACATGTGATAATGTGGCCCTCATTTCAGGCGTCAGACAAGACCGAAGATATGCTAGCTGGGTGCGTAGTGGTTGACTCTTGAGTTGGAGTAATTCCACATAATCAGCCCATGCACCACACCACAACTTAAATTCTCGCAGGGATACGCTGGGCGAGAGCTTGTAAGGTGACAGAGCCTGGGGCTGACGTACCTGGGGACGGGGATGCCCCGTCGCTGCTGTAGGTGACGTGCCTACCGTGATCGAATCGTTGGAATCGCCACTATCCGCACCCTGTGAACCGGGGGGCAGGGGGAGACCCCCCTGGATGTATTTAACGCTTGACGAATCAAGTCCTGCATGGCGACACATTCAGCTCTTTGCGGCATCCGC